GCGAAGTCGGCGGCGGGTGGGATCGGGCCGCGTTTTCCGGGCCCCTGCACAGCTCCGGGCCGCCTGTCCCAGGTGCGCCCTTCTTCGCCCCAGGCGCCGGGCCAGGGTGAACATCCAGAGCTGAGGGTCGCTGGACCGCCCTTCCACTCCGTGTCCCAGGAGAGTCGGGGGTGGGGCGGGGCGGAGGTGACGCGGTAGCCCGGGTCCGAAGTGCAGTGAAGGACCCTGGGTTCCTCCCTGCCGCCGGCTTTTGCCAGGACCCGCTCGGCTGTCTTGGGGGGTGCTGGGCCAGCTGTAGGGTCTCCGGGCTCCAGCACGTGCCCTTTGTGTAAACCGCACATCGGTGCGCGCCCTCTGCGTTTGCCGATTCCTAGGGGCGCTGGCGGGGGCTCCCTTTGATCCATCTCTCCGTAAGGATGGAGAGGTCAGCCCTGTGCAGGTTTTCGGCTTTGGGGAGTCCTTTTCTCTCTCTCTCTGTCTTTTTTCTTTTTCTTTTTTTTTTCTTTTCAAGCAAGGTTTTTCTCTTACCAAAAAGTTCACTATTGGATAACTAAAAAATTCAGAGGAGCAAAAAGGAAAAAAAAAAATCATTTGAAAACTGTCAAAATCTGCTTATCGGCGAGTATATGTGTCTGAACATAGAAACTTTTTGTTCTTAAGGGTGGATATTAGTATCTTTTATTTGTTTTAAAAAATGAATTACAAAATACATTTGGTAAGGGGTTTAAAGTGCATAAATCTTAAGCTCCATGACTTTTTTAGTTTTATCTATACGAGTATCACTCAGTCAACATGGAGAATAAACTTTTATAAAAAATTTAATATTTTGCAAACATCTACTTATACCAGTTTTTAAAAATAGCCAAGTTATTTTGGTGAGTGATGAAAAGTATGTCTGTGCCATATTTAATCCTTTAGGCCTTTATGTTCTTTTTTCAGTGTTATCAACAATATAGGTCTCCTGGCTACATATATGTTTGCACTGTCTCATTCTGTAAATCTCTTGAAATGAAATTTCTGGATCCTCCTATGAGGCTTTTAATACCTCCTGTCTTACTTTCTCCATAAAAGTAGTAGCTTATAAACATTTGCAATGTAAGGAAGCCTGGTTGACCTGCACCAAGCCTGAGTGTTAACTATTTTCTAACTTTCTTAGAGGTGAAAATGAAAGAGCTGTTTAAATTTATATTTTAAATACTAATGAATATTTTTATGCAATTCGAGTTTTGTTTTTAAATCTTCTATCTAATACACAAGTGTTTCCTTTCTGTGGAGAAATGTCATATTTCCATATGGTCAGACATGAAGACCTTCCCTTCATGTTCAGATCTTTAGCATCATTGTTAGGCTTTCTGTTACATTATGATCACAAAAATGTTCATCCACATTTTCTACTAGTACTTTAGTTTCATGTTATGTGCAAAGTTTTATTTTCCAAGTGGTAAGCCCTTGTTCCAAGTTATTGAATAATTCATCTTCTCTTCACAGATGTGAAATGTACTTTTATTGTATTCTGAATTCTTAATATATAAATGTTTTTCTGAACCATTTGTG